GTGGCTCCCAAACGATGCTGGGACTGTAGCTCCCTTCGCAGGCGTGCTCCGGGATGGCCGTCTATGCCCTCACAGGGTTCTCGCTCATCAGCCTGCTCAGCTTTGGCTATTTATCCTGGGACTGGATGAAGCCCAGTTTGGTGGCCGACGTGGCCACGGACACCATGGAGAAAGCGCTGCCCCCCTCCTTTTCCAGGCCGCCCCACATCATCTTCATTCTGACCGATGACCAAGGCTATCATGATGTAGGGTACCACGGCTCTGATATCCAAACACCAACACTGGACAGGCTGGCGGCCGAGGGGGTTAAGCTGGAGAACTACTACATCCAGCCCATCTGCACCCCGTCCCGGAGCCAGCTCATAACCGGCAGGTAAGGCTCACACCCCACTTGTGTCCCTCCTCCTGTCCCTTCCTTAGCTCCGAGGAGCTTAACCCCAGCTCACTGCTAGGCAGATGGCCCCATGTATTGGCAGATGATGGAGAACCTCCAGAGGAAGGCATCTTGCTGGCTTTCCTTAGAAGGCTTCATGAGTAAACAGCTGATTTTCTTGTGGGAGATAGTAGCACATGGCAAGGCCAAAAATGCAGATGCTATTGGGTAGAGGGTGTCACTTTGGGTAAGGGTGGTCTCTGGCCATGAGGTCCTGCAGTGCCAGGCAAGGAGCTGCGTCCCCAGGCTGTCCCATGCTGCTGTCACACTGGTCCTCGGGGGTTTGCTGCTGGGCTGTGGGGTTGAAGGATCATTCTCCCCTGCATCTATGAGTCCCTTGGACTGTGTTTTTCCCACTTGTGTGTTCAGTGCTGCGTTATCCAGGGCCTGCTGGTTGCTGGTCCATTGCCCTCTCCCATAGCACACTGTTAAATCTCCCCTTATCCTGGGATGTTCTGCCTCCTAGGAGAGAAGGTGCTTACCCTGGAGCAGCCCTGGGAGATGCCTATGGATACGGCACTGCAAACCCACAGGGGTTGCCGCACAACTCTTGCTTGTGCTGCCCATCCCTGACAGAGCCCAGCCACCCTCCATGGGCAGGCAGCAGCAGGGATAACTGCTGGTGGCATCCCGGTGGGGCAGCCCAGTGTGGTTTTGAGATGTCTGCTCAGCCCCTCTCTTGTTTTTGCATCTGCTTTTAGTATCATTGGATAGATCAGGACCTCCAGATCTCTGGTGTGGAGCTTGCTCCACAGGGCTGCGTTGGGTGACGTGGAGATCTGTATACATTTGGGGTCTCCAGCACATAAAATGCCACCTCGTTCCCACCCGGCGCTGCTCCCTGTCACCACTGATTCCTCCTGGCTCTTCCCCGGCAGGTACCAGATCCACACAGGGCTGCAGCACTCCATCATCCGCCCTCGGCAGCCCAACTGCCTGCCCCTCGACCAGGTCACCCTACCACAGAAGCTGCAGGAAGCCGGCTACTCCACACACATGGTGGGCAAGTGGCACCTTGGCTTCTACAAGAAGGAGTGCCTGCCCACCCGCCGGGGCTTTGACACCTTCCTGGGCTCCCTGACGGGCAATGTGGACTATTACACCTATGACAACTGTGATGGACCGGGCGTCTGTGGCTACGACCTGCACGAAGGGGAGGACGTGGCTTGGGACCAGAGTGGGAAATACTCCACCTTCCTCTATGCCCAGCGCGTCAGCAAGATCCTGGCATCCCACAGCCCCAAGGAGCCCATCTTCATCTACGTGGCCTTCCAAGCTGTCCACACGCCTCTGCAGTCCCCCAAGGAGTACATCTACCGCTACCGCTCCATGGGCAACGTTGCCCGCCGTAAGTACGCTGCCATGGTGACGTGCATGGATGAGGCGGTGAAGAACATCACCTGGGCCCTCAAGAAGTATGGTTATTATGACAATAGTGTGATTGTGTTCTCCACTGACAACGGTGGGCAGACCTTCTCCGGGGGAAGCAACTGGCCGCTACGGGGCCGCAAAGGGACGTACTGGGAAGGAGGAGTTCGTGGCATTGGTTTTGTCCATAGTCCCCTCATCAAGCGCAAGCGCCGGACCAGCTGGGCGCTGGTTCACATCACAGACTGGTACCCAACTCTGGTCAGCCTGGCCAGGGGCAACCTGAGCAACGTGCCAGGCTTGGATGGCTACAACGTGTGGCCTGCCATCAGTGAGGGCAAGGAGTCGCCACGAACCGAAATCCTGCACAACATTGACCCCCTGTACAACCACGCCAAGTATGGCTCCTTGGAGGATGGGTTTGGCATCTGGAACACGGCCGTGCAGGCCTCCATCCGGGTTGGGGAGTGGAAGCTCCTCACTGGTGACCCGGGCTACAGTGACTGGATCCCCCCACAGACCCTGACCAACTTCCCAGGGAGCTGGTGGAACCTGGAGCGTCTCACCAATGGCCTGAGGAAGTCCGTGTGGCTCTTCAACATCACTGCTGACCCCTATGAGCGCTACGACCTCTCGGACCAGCGCCCAGACGTGGTCAGGACCCTCCTGATGAGGCTGGTGCACTACAACCGGACGGCCATCCCGGTGCGGTACCCTGCGGAGAACCCCCGAGCACACCCGGACTTCAACGGCGGTGCCTGGGGTCCTTGGGCCAGCGAGGATGATGGGGAGGAGTGGGAAGGCGGTGGGGAGCCCCTGAAAAGCAGGAACAAGAAGAAGAAGAAGTGCAAGATCTGCAAGCTGCGCTCTTTCTTCCGCAAGCTGAACACCAGGCTCATGTCCAACCGCATCTGATGGGAGAATCCCCCAGCACTGACCCAGCCTGGCCAGGCTGGAGCTCTGGATGACAGTGCCATGGGGTGGGAGCGAGGGAGAGGGACAGATAAGGAGATGGACAACAGTCTCTCACTTCTCCTTACTCCAGGGTTCACCTCAAAACACTTCTCCTCTCTGGCTGGACCGGTGGCAGCAGGGAGGTGGTCCTGGTGGGCAAGGAAGGGTGATGTACGCTCATTCATGGTCCTTGGTGATGTACTACAAGTCTGCTGAGCTGGGCTGGCCCAGGCACAGCCCTTTGCAAAGATAGAGACCCTTTTCTCAAAGACTCTGCAGGCAATTGCAAGCTTTAATGTTGACCATTGCAATGGCAGGAGGAAGCGTGGGACCCTGGGGTGGCTCTGCCTACAGGTTGTCCCTCATCTTGTCCCTGTATATCCACGCTCCTGACTCTGCCTGCTTCCAGGCAGCTGCTACATTTGCTCTTGCTCCCCCAAACCCAAGACCATGGTGTTTCCCTTTTGTGCTTCTTTGTGGAAGGGTGGATTCCTGACCATGGACATCAGATCTGAGACTGCAATGGCTGGACTCAGCCTTGCTGCTACAGGAACCATGCCTTCTCCCCTCCACTGGCTTGGGGGACCAGGAGCAGCCCCAGTGAGGAACTATAGCCCATGCAGATGTGGCTGGATGCTCTTAGAGAACACATGGTTTCCTATGGCCCCACATTTGGGAGGCAGGTTTGTCCCAGGTTCTGGTGGATTTCACATGGACCAGCCACCCAGCAGACCCTTCCATCCACAGGGCCTACCGTCACCATGTGCATAGCTGTAGGCACCCGTGCTCCTCCCCATCCATCCTACCCATCCACCCATCCAACCACCCCTTCCCAGTGCTGGGGTTAGCCCCATCCCCACATCCCCACTGCTGAACCTGGGGCAGAGGGAACATCTCAAGAAGGTCTCTGCAGAGGCGGATGTGCTGCTCTTTAGCTGCAGGACCCCAAAGCCATGGAGGGGGACAGGGACAGCTCTTGCCTGCCAGCACCACACCACACCACATCCCCTCCCTGCAGATGGGCACCACTCTCCCATCAACACCAGCACTGAACGGGGAAACACCTCCCCATCATCCCCCCAGTGCCATGGGCAGCCAGCCCCTGCGGCAGCTCGGGTCCAGCACCGAGCCCCCCCGCGCATGCGTGCGTGTGCTCCCAGGAGAAGCTGGAGAGGATGAAAGAGGGTAAATAGCTCGAAAAGCACTTGGGATGCATGGTGCATTTCCATTTACACAATGTGTTTTACATTTCTCCCCACAGGTTTCTCTTGGTGCAGCGTGTGTAGGCGAAGGCCCTGCTGTGAATTTTGAAAATAGTTATTTTTGTCTCTGGAAAATGAGGCCCGTTAGGACTTGTCAGCTCTTGGATGAGCAGTGTGGGCTTTCTTTTTTATTTTTTTCCCCTCTTTTTTACCCCCCCCCCCCTTTCTTTCTCTCTCCCTTGCAAAATAACATTCATTTAAAATCTGTCATTGAAAGATGTGACAATTGGCAGCGTGCACGCTGAATACCTTTCAGTGTGCTTTCAAGCCCTGTGTGTGAGAGAGAGGGACGGGGATGGGAAGAGAATGCAATGACACATTTGTGTTTTTTTCCCCCCTTCTTACTCTTAGCTTGGATTATTTGGGGGAATTGGGATTTTCTATAGAAACAAAGAGAAAAAAAAAAAGAGCTGACAGCGAGGCAGAATAGAGGAGACCTCTTGTTGTAGAGATGAGAAGGAGTTTGCGAAGCTGGAGCGTGGCAGTGTGTGCATCGGTCCCAGGTGCTCCATGCACGCCCATCACCGTGCCATCCCGTCGGCCCCCTGCATCCCTAAGGACAGGTTTCAGAGGGGAACTCAGCTCCTTCATCAGCCCCTTCTCCATCCCTGGCTCCCTTAGCACATTGCTCCATGGAGACCAGTCCCTGCAGCATCACCCCATTGGAGGTGAGCCCCGGGAGGATGCTGCACATCCCCAAACTACCTCAACTGTCTAGCCCGGTCCCATGGGATTCACTCCACCAGTGTGCCCACTGGCAAAGCCAACCAGTTGCTGAATATAAAGCAATGCTTTGCTGAAGAAGAGGAGACTGCTGCAGGCTGAGCTGGGGCTGGGCAAGGGGTGATGGCTGCTTGGGGCTCTGGAACAAGGCACTGCAAAAGGAGAACTGATGCCAAAGCGAGCGGGAGAGCGGGGCTGGCCATGGGGCGGCGACAAGGGTTGGGAAACAGCTTTCATTTCCATATTTATATAAATGCATCCAAGTTTAGTCCTTCTTTTATTTTTTTTTTCTTCAAAAATGGAAATTTCCATGAAAACACTTCGATTTTTCTCCCTTCACTTTTACTAATATCCCCATGACAAGGTTGGTCTGGTCTTGCTTCATTTCCAGTCGCTGGGCTGGTGCCAGGCTCACAGCCTGGCCATAGCGTTGGGTCTGCGTTCTTCTTTTGTTTTAATTAAAAAAAAGTTGCATTATGAGTTTTTACAAAAAGAAACAGTTGAAGGAAAGTCTCAGTCCCTGAAAACAACGAGGAAAAGTCAGCAGGAGCATCTCTGGGTGCTCAGAAGTGCAGAGCCTCCAGCCCGAGGACTGCAGTTGTCCTTCACCTCTGTTTCCAGTCCCGTATTTGAACATCGGCTGTTGCTTGGGTTCCCCATCCCACCACTGCTCATTAACGGTCTCTGCAGGAAAGAATGAAGATTGTGCCCAAATCCTGTGTTTTCACATAGTTCAAGCCCCTCGGCAGTGCCTGTGCACTCTGGCTGCCGAGGGGTTAATGCAGCTGGGGAGATGCTCGGGTGGTGGAGATGTGTTTGCACAGACAGGCTGAGCACTCCCCTCCTTCCCAACCACCTTCCAAAGAGCAATGCAAACCCAAGGCTGTCCCAAACTCCAGCAGGACCAGGGTGCAGGATGGTGCCTTGCGGAGAGGATGGGGCAGGGGGAAGCATCTGGAGCCAGCGGGCTGGGAGGAGGTGAGAGTGGGGTGGGATGGAGGGGCATAAGATGATGACAGAGATGAGGATGAGGGTGGGGATAGGATGGGATGGAATGGGGATGCAGGTGGGATGGAGTTGGGATTGAATAGGGATGCAGGTGGGATAGAGTTGGGGTGGGATGGGGATGCAGGTGGGATGGAGTTGGGATGGGATGGAGATGGGAACAGTGTAAGGATGAGGATGGGGGTAGGATGGATCAGGCAGGATTGGAGGTACCTTTCCAGCCCCACAGGCATCTTCCACTTGGGAAAGGGAAGAAGCCCAGTAGGTGGAAAGGGGATGGACATCTTACCAAACCCCATGGTGGGAGGGTGCCAGGGCACCCTGGGCACCTCGTGCTGGGGAGAGGCTGCTCTGGACCAGGGGCTCTATCTCACACCAGGGAGGTGCATCCTTTCTCCTTCCAGCGGTCTGAGGATGAGAGGCTTTGCAGAGGTTTCTCCCCACTCAAAGCCAGCTCCAGGGAGCCGTGTGGCTCCTGCTGGGGGTCCCCAAGTATCCATGGCCATGTCAGCAGGAGAATCCCTGCCCACGGATCCTGGTGTTGGGGAGAAGGCGGCCTTGGGGGCACCGTGTCCCAGCTCAAAGCAGTTTCCTGTGGCTGCAGGAGTGAGCACTGGGACCTGCAGGGACAGGGCACGTCTGCAGACACAACCCTCAATGTAAATCAACTCTTCTTTACCATGGTATTTATAATCCTTATCTAAAAATAACCCCAAATTCAGCTTCCCATAGGACAGCAACTGAACATCCCCCAGACCCCAGCTTGTGTGTGAAACTGTCCCGGTAATTCTGGGATGTCTGCAATATGTAATTGGCAGCTCCACTGGTTTTGTGTGCGAGGAACTGCTGCGAGCTCCCGGAGGCCCATGAAGTGTCCTGGGAGGAGGGGGGATCCTGCTGCAGCTCCCCAGGGACACACTGGTCCTCCCTGAGCCCATCCAGTTTAGCATCAGACCTCAGGTGCCCACCCTGGGCTGCAGAAACCCGCTGTGTGTGTGCGTATTTGGGAGAGCAGGCTGCATCCCTGGAGAGGCAGCCCGGTGATGGAGAGGAGCTGCTGGGGATGAAGGTCTCCATCAGGCGGTCAGACCCGAGCACGGCAGCTTGGCTCTCCAGAGCCCTGCGGGACCACATCTTGGGCTGGCCGGGAGCAGAGGCATCGGCCGAAGGGAGACATCCAAAACAGATCCTAGGGCTTCTGGGACGGGGCTGGAGCTGCTGCCCTCCGCTGGGAGCTGCGGGGAGAGACCCCAGCCCGAGCGGGACAATCCCGTCCGGAGCTCTGCTCCCCTTGGGGGTTCTCCAGGCACCGCTTGGGAAGCGCATCACCGGCAGGGCAGAGCATGCTGAGCACCCAGGAGCCTGACACCCCCTCAGCCCCAGGAGGGAGGAAAGCAGAGGAAAAGGGGGGAAATGAACAGAGTGCGGGAAGGGAGAAACCCTTCCTAGAAAGCCACCTCTGTGCCAGGCAGGAGAAACCTGGGGAGGGAGGCAGGGTCCCCATGGAGAGCTCTGGCATCCCCCCTGCTCCCTGTGAGGGTGTTGGAGTGCAGAAGGAGCTCTGGAGGGAAGGAAGGGCCAGATCCCTCCTCCTGACTGCGGGATCATGTGTGTGGGGCTGAACACATGTGCCAGCCCCAGGGTGGTGCGGGAAGAGGGGGCAGGTCCCATTGCAGAGCCCATGGGCACATGTATGACAGCAGAGGCAGGAGCGAGGCGGGGTGAGCTGCCCCCAGGCATCCGTGGGTCTGGCGTGGGGGCTCTTCCTCTTGTCCTTTGGCTCCAAGGGGCTGATAGGGGTTGGCAGCATAAAGCTGGAGGAGGAGAACATTCCATGAGCATCCATATGGCTGCAGCAGCTCCCACGGCAGCCCCCTGCCTCCCGACACAGCTCTGGGTGGGATGAATGAACCCCCTTCATGTGGGAGCAGGAGATGGGCATGGGCAGGGTGGTGTTTTGGGTACCACCACATCCCCCATCACCCGTGGTGGCCGGTGTGCTCTGCCCATGTGGTGGCAAGGCCATATGGGTCTGGAGTCCATCGGCCCTTAGGGCATATGGCTCCATGCCCTGTCCGTGCAGTGGGAATTGTGTCCTTGGCACCAGGGTCCCTCTCCGGCTGGGCCATGCAGGAGCGGGAGGCTGGATGCGGGGATGCAAGGTGCGGATGAAGGTGGGTAATGGTGCAATTAATGGAAAAGCCATTAGACCTTTCTCCTCCTCCCCCTCTTCTTCCTCACTCCGCCACTTGCTGTCCTCCTCCACTTCCACCTCCTTTCTTCTCTCCCTCTCTCTGCTCCTCCTTCTCTATCTCCTCTCAAAGATTTCTCCCTATTTTTGTCTGGTTAGAGCCTTTTCTTTTCCTTTTAACCCTTCCATGGCAGCCTGAAAGGGAGCTCAATCCATCTCAGCTGCCAAAGGCAATACCCTCCCAGCCAGTGATGGGAACCCCTTCTTTTGGGGTTGTGGTAGCTCCTCCTGCTGCAAAATCATCCAGAAACAGGGCAATAGCTTAGAAGAAATATCTTCTGGGGGGCTCAGAGGTGGGAAGGTGCATAGGGGGGTGTAGATGGATCCCCAGTGGGTGCTGGCAGCAAGGTGGGCTCAAAGGGAAACCTCCTCCTAAAGTCTTGGCCCTCATCACTCCACTTTCATTTCCCTTTTTGTGTCTTCTGAAGTTAAAAGTAGCAGCAAAAAGCCTGATGAGGAGGGGGCAGACCTTGCTCCTACCCCATCCTGAGACCCCCAGCATCCCCCAGCACTGCCAGCGCTCCCCTGCAGCGCAATCAGGGCCACCCCCCCAGGGTACCCTGGATGATGAAAGGCCAGCCTGGGGACCTGGGGACCTGCCATGGTTGCTCCAGCTTCTCCTGACACACTTCTGCTCCATTGGCTCCCACCCACCCCAGTGTCCCCCATCCCAGAGCTCCCCAGTCCTGGAGGAATACTGCTGCAGGGCCTATATTTTTTGGGGGGGGGGGGGAATCAGTTGCCGGGGTGACAGCATCCTCCTGCAATATGAAAACCAGGGTTTCCATGGAAACCCTTTTTGCCCCAATTATCCTTCCACTGACATGTCCTTTAATTTGCCTTTAATATTTGCATTTTAGGCCTCCCCCCCTCCCCCGCATCATCAGGGTGACCCCCAGGCAGCCCCCAGGGCCGGGTCCCCATCAGGGCCCTGGTCCCCACGGGCGCCTGGCGGGTTTGGGTTGCAGTTGCCCGGGCAACAGAAACAGGGCGTTTCTGGCAGCGGTGGTCGCCATGGGGACGGGGATGCTGACGAAGGCTTGTGAAGCTGAGAAGACAAATTGCCCTCATCATTATCTCCGGGCTTGTCAATCAAACATATTCCCTTATTTACCTCGGCGAGGAGAGAGCCCCGGGAGCACACGGAGAGGGAGGGAGCGAGAGGAGAGCTGCTTGTCCCAAACTCGGCACTGGGGAGGGAGCATTTCCAGCCCCTCGGAATGGCCACCATCACCTGCAATCGCTTCACCGAGGAGTACCAGCTCTTTGAGGAACTGGGCAAGTAAGTTGGAGATGGGGATGGGATGCTCTGAGTGGGGCTGTGCCCCTTCTGGGAACTGCCGGAGATGGGGGAAAGGAGACAGGCACGGAGCTAAGGCACTGGGGAGCAGTGGGGGGAGATTTGGGTTAGGATGGGGGGGATATGGGTTAGGATGGGGGGGATATGGGTTAGGATGGGGGCTGCCTGCTCCATCCCTTCCCGAGTTCGGGTGCTCGGCTGGGAGCTGGGGTTAACCCCTGGGGGCTGGAGCTGCTCAGGGAAGGGGGTGGCTGCCACTCCTAGGGAAAAGCCGCTCCCGAATGAGGATGCTGCTGGCTCCCCTGGGAACTTCTCCAGCTGGGAGGAGGGACAGGACCGCGGAGGAGGAAAGCCAAACTGCGGGTGCCCCTTGCATTTCCTTAGGGGATTTCTCCGTGTGGATTCACTGGGGTCTGGAGGGTTCTGCAGGAGATCCAGCCTGCCCGGCAGCCCCTGGTGGCGCTTGGACAGTGTCGGGGTGTCTCCCACCCCTATCCCACTGTGAGCATCCCTCTGGGTGAGCCACAGCTTGACCCTGCTCTGCTTCTCAAAGGGCTCAGCTGGGCAGCTCCGGGTGTCATCGCGTGTGCCTGGATCAGGGTGTGATGCGTGTGCAAGCAGAAATGCCCGTGCACGGCATCCTGGGGGACACTGAGCATCCCGGGGTGGATTCCAGGAGATTCCAGGTCCTCCATATGGGGCTGAGGGAGGGATGCTCCGTGTCTCTCCGAGTGTGTGGCTGTGAAGCGGGTGCAGGAGCGAGCAGGCGTGTGCCTGTGTTTTGGTTTCTGTGCCCTTTCCTGGAGCTGGTTTGTGAATCTGGGGCGTGTGGCCACGTTCCCATAGGAGCAGCTCGGCAATGTGGTGCCTGTGCTGGGTGCTTGGTGCCTGGGCTTTGGATGTGCAGTGGTGTCCATCCATAGGCTCCAGCCCTGCGCTCCTGCATCCCCTGTGCCTAAATCTGTACCCACACACATGTGAGAGCGTGAAACAGGGGTGAGGAGAGGATGAGGATGGAGAAACTGAGTTGAAATAGGGGAGGACTTTGGGCCAGGCTGAGCACTGTCAATATTCCCCAGCCAAACAGAGGCACAAAGTGCAGCTCCATGGATGCAAGCAGAACGCATGGTCCCAGGATGTGCACATCCATCCCCTTGGCACTGGGGTTCTGGCAGGGAGCAGTGGGTCAGGGAGCAGGTCCCTGCAGGGGGGACAGTCCCCGCTGGCACTGCGGGCATGGGAATAGGGAGTTGGTGGCAAGGTGGGATTTGGGACCTGCTTTTCCAGAGGGTTCTCGGCTATTCCGTGCTCTGAGGCTCTGTGGTGGTGGCAGGGGGTGGGCAGGAGAGGCAGTGGCTGCAGGGAGCCTGCGGGGAGGCTGCTGTGTCCTGCCTGGGCAGATGTGGCTGCAGGGAGCGTGAAGGCCAGGAGCGATGGGGAGCACCGGGTTGTGTTTGGGATGCAGCACTTAGCTAGGAGGATGCTGACGCTGGGGGCTGAGCACCCAGACTCGGGGGTTGCCCGCACTGCTCAGCACCACGGTGTAAACCCCCCTTGACAGATGTGTGTTGATATGCTCCTGAATAAAGGAACATGTGCCAGCTCCCTGTGAGCATCACACCCCAGCCCACCCGACCCCTAGGGTGATGTAGGGACTGAGCTCCAGGCAGCATTCCCAGCTTGGAGCATCCCTCAGCTTTCCCCTCCACTCCGGCGGACAGGTACCACCGCAGCACTGAGGTGTGCTCCCAGCTTAGGGGCTTCTGGGCTTCTCCAGGCTGGTCAAGGCACTGTGGAGCTGGTTGGGGATTTTCCACTGGGATGGGTTCCAGCGCATCCTGGCACATTCAAACATCAGCGGTTTCCCATGGGGAAATTTCCACTTTCTGGGCTTAGCGAAGGAAATGAGGACGGAGCTGCACCTCTGCTCTGCTGCAGCAGCGCTCACGGTGGGAAACGGCATTCCTCCTGCAGCGAGATGCTCCCGGTGCTGGTCAGGATGCGGGGTCTGGCAGGGGTGAAGCAGGGCAGCAGCACAACTCTCCCACATCCAGACCCCAAAGGGAAGCAGCATCCCACAGGAGCTCAGAGCAGAAAGGGTCCATCTTGAATTTGCTGCCTCAAGGGATGGGGACAGTCCCCTGCGGGGCATATGGGGTGTCCCCAAGCCTGGCTGGCAGGAGGAGAGGTGCTGGATGCCAAGGCTGCTGCATCCACCATGCTCCTTTGGCACCTTCTCTTCTGTCACCCATCCTGACACCCAGCCGGGCTGGGGGGTTAAGGTCCCACACATCAAACAGTAGCATCGCAAAGGGGCTTTGTGGATGGGGGTCTGCAGAGCCTGCCCCATGGGGCATGATCCTCTGCACCTCCCAGGCATGGGGAAGGCATCTGTGCTGAGCAGGGGACATGGACCTCTGGAAACCCCACTCCTGCATCCCTGGCAAAGCCCAGCAAGCAATGGGCCACTCCAATCCCCCCCCATTGCTCCGTGCTTTCAGGAGGGGACCAGGGGAAGGTGGGGAGCAGCAAGTGGGGAAGGATCCTGCCCACGGCCCCCCTGGAGCAGGACAAACACGAGGTGCGGCTCCATCGGCACCTCCAAATCCTCCTCCACGGCAGGTCGGGGGTGAGGCTGGGGACAAGCACGGCACTGAGCGGCCCGAGCCGAGCTGCGGGAGACGGGGGTTATTAAAGAGACCAAGGGGAAAAAGCAAACATGGAGGAACAAAAACTCCCCAGCCCACACTGCGCTCTCGACAGAGGAGATAAAATGCCTCGGAGGAGGAGGAGGTGTTGAAGAGAGGGAGGGCGGCAGCAGCGCAGCCCAGCGCTGGCAGGGAAGGTGTGAAAAAGGGAGAAGCGGAGCAGCCCCGTGGCAGAGCGGCTGCTCGGGGGAAGGCCGTGGGGCCGAGGCATGGATGGGTCGTACCTGGCCCAAGGACCAAGGGCCGCGGGGCTGGGATGCAGCGGTGCTGGAGCTCGGGGTTGGAGGGACAGGGCTGGATGCTGGGCTGAGGGTCCAGGGGCACCCTGAAATGGCAGCTGATGGGGGGGGACATGGATGTGGTCACTACTCGTGGTCCAGTGCTAAAACTGGGACATGCTGTCACATCTGGGATGGGTGCCCCATCTCAGAGCTAGGCAGAGATGGGGACCGCCAGCTGCCAACAGGTTTGGGGTCCATCCAAAGAGCCAGCACCCCAGGAGGGAACTGACCCACGCCACTGCCCATGGCCAGAGAGCAGGACATGTCTCCTTCCAAAGGGGTTTCTTGCACCCAGATGGGGCTGAGCTCCTTTCCTGGTACCCCCTGCACTGCCTGCAGGCAGCCCCGATGCAGGAGGGACTCCCTGAAGGACCTGACTAGGACTGGGATGAGGCTATGGCAAATGTGTTGTAGCCAGGGTGTCCTGCACCCAGTGCATTGTGTCTCCTTTGCCCACCGGGCTCAGAGGGTCTTGCCTGTCCTTCATGGAGCCCCAAAAGACATTTGGTTTCTGTTAAAAAGGCTCAGTGAAGCCAAAAGCCATGCATGCAGGCAGGGGTGCGAGACCTTCTTCTGTGCCAGTGCAGTGCATCCCATCCCTGGATGCTGCATCCCACATCCCACGGCTCCCTCTTTGCCATTCGGTTTAGTTTGCATAGATGGATGAGTGAGTGGCTGTGGGCACTGGGATCAGCCTCCAGGGCATCCGGGACATCTACGTCCCTCTAACCCCATGTCACGTCCTGCAGCAAAACCCTGCAGCTGGAACAGAGCCCCTGAGCTGGGTTGGATGGGTGAGGGCTTCCCTGCTTCCTGCACTCGCTGCTGCAGACATCCCTGGCACTGCAAGAGCAGCACATGTGTCTTTAGGAGAAAAGAATAGGAAAGATGGGTCACAGGGATACACAGGAGTCCCCCAGTCCCGGGCTGTGCGGGGTTCCCAGCGGGATGGGGAGAGCGTCACTGCAGGGCTGGTGATGGCTCCCATCTCCCGCACCCACGGCAAGCTGGATACAAAGCATCTTGCTCCCCCTCTCCAATTATCCCCCTCTCACACTACAGGGATATTCTGAGCTCAGCTGTTCCAGCAGCCGGGATCAGACAGCAGGATGGGGAGGCCGGGAAGCACCGGGATGCTGTTCCCCTGGCACGTGCCGTGAGCGATGCTCTGCGCGGCGGCGCTGGGCGCGTGGGCTGCCGGCGCTGCTGGGGCTCCAGCTCCATCCCTCCGCACCCCGCCGCTCGCCTGCTCTCCTAAAGATCCCATTCAACCCCAAATTGCCCATCTCCACCCGCCCCCACCAGTAAAATCAATTATCCGCTGGTGCTCGCCAGCCTGCGGCCTTTTATTCCTCAGCAGGGAGCAGGAGCTGGGGGGGGGGGAAGGTGGGGCTGGAGGTGGGAGTGCTTTTGATAGTTGTTATTTTAGCGATTGGGAAGGTTTGGCAGGGAAGGAACCTGGTACAAAGGTTGTGCTCAGCAGGGCTGGAGCATGCGTGTGTGTGTGTGTGCAGTGCCGCAGCTCTCAGCATCGCGCTGGTGTGCTCTCAGTGCTATGAGCTGGCAGGGCTCACACTGTGGGGTATGGGGGCAGAGAGGCTTGGTTTGGGGAGCATCCCAAACACTCATGCTCGTTTTCCTGCCACGAGACCCTTGTGCACTGGTTCATGTGTGTGCAAGCAGCAGCAGCATTAATACCCAACCTGCTCTGCTGCAATGGTCCTGGTTTGCAAGGTCCCCTGTGCTGATCCTGTCCAGTTCTGCATATGGGGCACCTTGCACCTCTGGCCTGCACCCATGGCTGGTGCTCACACCCTTCTGCAAAGTGCTGCTGTGATCGCATGGCCTAGAGCATGCAAAGCCACACACACAGACTGAAGTGAAGTTGCAGAGTGCTGCGTGGTGACTGCAGCCATCCTGGTGTCCCTCGGAGCCAATATCCATGGTAAATCACTGCCCCTTCTATCCCAGGGAAGAGGTAGAGCAGAGCCTGGGAAGGAGAGGAGGAGGAAAGGTGCATGATGCCTGGGGTGTCCCAGAGGCAAACCCTGTGTTCATCCATGTGCCTGTCCCTTTCATTCCCCAAGGACAGTGGCGCAAGGAAGCCAATTTAGCCCCTTCCCTGCCCTTCACTCAGCCCCATCCCTGTCCTTCACCCCACAGGAACATTCAGAGCTGAGCCCTTCACTTCTCCCTCTGGCTTCTTGTCTTCCCAGGGGTGCTTTCTCCATTGTCCGGAGATGTGTGAAGGTGTTGGCAGGACAAGAGTATGCAGCCAAGATCATCAACACCAAGAAGCTGTCTGCTCGAGGTAAGTGTTGACGGTGCTTTTGGGGAGGTGAGAGGCGAGCAGGGTTTCTGGAGAAGGAATTTGTCTCCATTGGATGGTTCTGGGACAATGCCTTTGATGTGCAGCAAGGCAGGGGGTGTTTAACGTGCAGCGGAGGAACCCCTTATCCCACCCTATTTCTATGTGGTACACACTGAGCTGTGAACATCCCAAGGAGATGTCTTCATGGCTGCTCACTGCATCACGTCCAATCATATGGATATACCAAGGCTCTGGGGGTTTCCCAGACCCCAACCTCGCTGGGGAGCTGCAGGACCCCACTTCTCCCTGCACACCATGTTGCAGGTGAACCTGTATCCAGTGATGGATACACACCATGTATACAGTGATGGATACAGCCCTGCAGCAAGTCAAACTGCTGCCAGCCTTCAGTGCTGGGTAGCACAGTTATTTTGGGAGCATCACCTCTGAGAGGTGACCTCTGTCCCTGCTCTCAGGGGCTGCAGGTTCCCTTATTCACGTACCTGCATCAATGAGATAGGAAGTTCCTTCAGGTGGGGGTTTGATTTCATTTCTGCCTGGGGATGGTCCCTCAGCCCTTGCTGCTCTCTCATTAATCGCTCTGGTGAAGCATGCTGCTGCTGGAAGAGGCACTGGTGGATCTGTTCTGGCTGCTCCTCGGGGCAAGGCTGAGCTGTGCCAGCACAGAAAACCTTCAGTGAGTCCTTGCCCCGAGGCAGGGACCGCTCTGCCCCAGAGCATCTGACACAAGAGCTGCAATGAAGAGGATGGAGAGGATGGGACAGCAGCTGCCGTGCCCCTGGCTCTGGCTCCTCCTGGCCGGGTCCATCAGGGAGTGCAGGATCGGTGCCGGGAGCGAGCGAGGGTTTAATTAACTCCCTCCTTGGTTTCCTTCCCTAATGCCACTGCTCACCTCCAATGGCAAAACCGAAATGCAGAAAACGGTGACAAGCTCCTTTCTGACCCCAAATTAAATCAGTGCTTTGCAATCTCCTTCCTGCAGTGCTGCCGAAGAGGCACGGCGCTGATGCTGAGCTCCCCCCTGCTCTCCCCAGCATCCCTCTTTGTGGATGTGGACCATTCCCTTCCTCTGAGGCTGAAGGCTCCCAGTCCAGGGCTTCGGGCTGGTAGCACTGGTCTCGGCGCTCAGCTCCGCAGCGGGGTGGGCAGCAAACACCTCCTGGCCCGGAGCAGCGGACTGAGCCGCCCTCCCTCTGCTCCCTCCTGCCTCCGCTCGCCCGCTCCCCCGGTTTGCCCCTCTCCATCCTCTTGCCGCAGCTTCGTGTCCCTGTCCCCTGGAGAGACCTCACCGGGGTCATTTTCCCTGCTGAAATCACCGCCTGCCTCTGCTGATGGCCTTGAAACCCCGGTCCTGCAGTGATAACACAGGGGATGGTGCTGCGAGGAATGCCCAAAGCCGAACAAAGAGCCGCTCTCCCGCAGGGATGTGCCCAGCCCTCACTCCATAGGGATAAACTCCTTTCCCAGACCCTCCTGGATGCCACTGGCTCTCCAGCGCTGCCCCTTCCCCTTTGGAAGCGCTCCATCTCTTCCGCCCTTTCATCTCCCTGATCCATTTTCCTCTTCGCCCGGTTTTCGCTGGTCTCCCACTCCCTCCCCGTGCTGTCTGCACTTTATCAAAGCACACCAGCCTCCCGCCAAGCCGCCTGTGCCCGGCTTTGCCTTCGCAGGCGTTTTGGTGGTGACAGATTGCGAGGGTACAAAGAGGGGGCAGCGCCTGGGGGGGGGGATGCTTGGTGCTGAAGGTGCCGCGGCTCAGCCAGGAGATGGAGCTGAGTCGGGCGGTTTGTGGTGGGAAGGGGATGGGGTCACATTCACTGGGATCTCTGGGTTCTTCTAAGCAAGCAAAGGAGCTTTGCTGTGTATGAGATTGCCCTTGGGCCGTTTGGCTCCAGGTTGCAGACAGGGAAACTGAGGCAAAAAGGGAATATCAGTGACTCACCTACGGTCACTGTCAGGCAGGAGCAAAGAGGGGCAGAAAGCAGCTCCCCATTGCCCAGAGAAGTGCTTGTCCTCACTGGTCACACCGTTCCTACATCCTCTCCCTGCCCTACACCCCACAATGGATTTTGGTTGTGAGCAGCAACAGCCTAAACCCTGCCTTGTCCCTGTTGACATGTCTCAACCTGGGAAGGCTGCTCCCCATCGGGGGAACACTGCTGGGGGCTGAACAAGGCCAACAAGACTGTCCCAGCCTTTGGCTTGCAGAACCCACCCCAAGCCCCAGGGTGAATGTCTCACCCATGCCGAGCCCCACAGTTGCTGCATGGGTGATGCTGGAGCCCCAGCAGTGAAGGGGCTGCAGCGCCTTGATGTCTCAGCATCAGAAACAATGAGGTTTGGTTTGATGCAGAGCGAGACTCTGGGGTGTGAATCTGCAAGGTAACAGTGATAGCACTGAGAGACAAGCAGCTCTAATTATATCCTCACTTCTGGGTTCCTTCTAGTGTGAAGTGCCTCCAGACAAGGCACCTCCACGCAGGGTGGCTGGGGCAGGTAAAAGGAAGGAGAGAAGTGCAGAGACAGGGAAAAAGAAACAAAATGATTTGGAAACCATTCTGAGCTGCCCCAGAGAGGAGGCTTTTTTGGCTCAACTCAGTTTGCTTTACCCGGAGCATTGCTGTCTCACATCCCTGAGCCTGGCAGAAGGCAGGGAGATGGACCTGTGCTGCCTGTTTGGGGACTGGCACCAGACCAAAGCAGGTTTTCAGAGCCGGGGTTTTGTGATATAAGAAAGCAAAAACCTGATGAGAAACGGCTGGGGATGGAGAAGGGAGTGAAGTGGATGGCCCTGTTTCAGCCTGACATCTCTCGCTGATCGGCTTTATCTTCAGCTGTTCAAACTGTACCATGTGGGGCCAGGAATGCCCTTGCTGAGTGCTTGTGCTTGACTGCATTAGAGAAAACAGAGCAAGTGCTGCTGGCAGTGATCACTTGGGCAGCTCTGGGGTATTCTGGAGGTGACTGGGGGTGGTTCAGTAAACGGAAGGGAGAGAAGAGGGTGAGGGATCTTCCAGCATCCAGGACTGCCTGTGGTGTTGGTGGCTGGGGGCTGCAGCCATGCTGGGATACTGTCCATCAGGCCCTGATGCTGAGCATGTCCCCAGACCCGTTCTTCTTTAGCAGAAAAAGGATGGGTTTGCTCCTTGCCAGCTGCTCTATCCCCATCAGCATCCCTGTGCTGGCAGCTCATCCGAGAGAGCATGGCAGGAGCTGGGAGCACATTATTTCCTTCCCCAGACCCTAATTTAGGGCTGTTGCCTCTTTCAGATCACCAGAAGCTGGAACGAGAAGCCCGGATCTGCCGCCTGCTGAAGCACCCCAACATCGGTAAGCACATCCTGCTCCTTCCCTGCCTGCCAGCCGAGCAGCCGGGCAAATGTGCCACTGTTCCATGCTGGCTCCATGCCCCCCTGCTCTCCCATGCTCCTGCCAGGGCTGTGGGGCCCCTATCAATAACATAACCCTACCTGCAGCACCACGGGCTGTTTGTCCTTCCCCTGTGCTCCAGCCACCACCCCAGAGATGGAGAAGGGCTCAGTGCCTGCCCTGTAGATCCGCAGAGCATCCCTCCTCATCCTCACGGGAGGCAGCACCTCCAAACGGGGTCATGGGGAGAAAGGCTTCCACTGTGTGCAGGGGGGGGGGTCGGTCCTATCTAACCCACTTGGCCATAGCTCCTCAGGGAGAAGCGGGGCCCCAGCAGGCTGCAAGGGGCTATTTTTACTCCTCTCCCGCTCCCCGGGTGCTGTGTTCCTCTGCATGCTCCAAAAAGCGGCTGCAGCTTGGAGCAGCAGCAGCAGCACGGGGCGTGTAGGAGGAGCGATGGCGGGGGGAAGCGAAGACTTTCCCACCGACCGTCCATCTGAGAGTAGCCTCCTTCGGAAAAGCTGTTGCAGGAAAACTCCTGAGCCCCTGCAAAAGACAAAAATAGGCCAGAAGGAGAGAAAGAGAGAGAAGGGAGGGGAAAAAACTGCAGCAAAAAAGAATTCCCAAACCCCGTCTTTGAGAGTGATGCTGATGCTGGTGGTTCGGCAGTGGGAATGGGGATGAATCCCCTCTCCGCTGCACCCCAGGATGTGCCAACACCAGTGGGATCCTTTTGGGAAAGCGTTTAGGGGTAGGACAATAGCTCTGCAGCCCTGGAACCTGCAGCCAGGAGCTGGGAGCTCTTCCATGCTGCCCTCGCTGCTCCGGGTGGCCTGGATCTGTCCTTCCCAAGATGTCCTGCAGCAGATGAAGGGGGACAGACCCAGGGCACTGGGACCTGCCATGTGGCTCCCACTCCATAAATATTGCAGTTTGGAAGGGGCCTGTCAGCTTCCATCTGCCTGAGGCACACGGGTGAGTGGCAGCTCTGCCCTGCATTGCTGGGGTGCTGGACACTGCAGGATCCAGCTGCCGTCCTGCGTCATTCCCTGCTTCAGCAGGACCCCATTCCCTGCAGTCCTGGTGGGAAGCGCAGGCTGCCCTGGTCACAGCAGCATCTGGAGCCTTTCCGTTGCTCCAAAATGGATGTAAGGATTGCTGAGACCTGAAGGAACTGTGCTGTAAAGTGTGTGAATAACAAGAAATACTGGAAATGGAGGAACCCATTTGCTTTCCCTTCTCCCTCATCCCTGCACCACTCCTCACTGGCCATGACCTGCAGAGATTGCAGGCTCGGAGCACCCTTGCTCTAAGCACAGGGCTGGAAAGGGTTAATGGCATGAGATGCTAACAGCCCTATCTCCGCTATTTATACCCAGGAGGTTCTTCTCCACCCCACACCCTCTCTCCCTTCATCCCCCCCACTGCTCCTGCTGCTTGGAAACTTGGGCTCCAGCTTCCCTTGCTTGCAGCACAAGCCAGCTAATTACCCACCAGGAGCTAGAATGAGCTCTGCCACTGCAGACCAGCCCTAATGAGAGGAAGAAGAGTCACTGCTGCGGAGGGCAAGGGAAGGCAAGGCAGAGAACAGCTCTCCATCTGTCCCAAGGAGAAGCATCCAGCTGCTGAGGGGCTTTGCTGCCCCATTACTTGTGAGGAGGGGCCCCTTCATCTCCTTATGGGAACGCCGCGCTGTGGCTGCGATCCTGGAGGAACCAATCTGTGCTTTGCACAGTGCCTGCAGGAGAGCCCTGTGCAGAGAGCCTCGCACGGGTGGTCGAGGGCAGCTCCAGGACCTGCAGCACATCCACGGCACTGGGGGATGTATCAGGGGGAGCTGTGGTTTCCCAAAGCTGCATTTCCTCGCAGGGAATCTTTCCTTATTGGGGTAACTTTGGCTACACGCAGCCCTGGAGGTTTAACTCCAGGTTAATCAGTCCTGATACTGTGTCCTGCCCCTGCCTTGGCTTTTGGTGCTGAGCTGGAGTGGTTTGGCCGGCACAGCTCTTTGTGACTATGGCCAGTAACAGATACTTGTAGGATCAGGCTATATTTAGAGCAGCTGCTCTTTCTTATACCTTATTCCTGGCTCCTGGCAGCTACAGGCAATGGGGCTTCCCAAAGCAGGAGTTGTATCCAGACCATCTGCTTATCATTACACGGACCCTATCCGCACTGAACCCACCTAATCCCCCACTGAACACTTTGGCTTCTGCAGGATCCCTGGTGCAATACCTTCAAATCCCTCCCAGGAAGGATGAAACAGGAGGAAATATGTTTCTTCCAGCAGAGGAAGGCAGAAAAGCTGGGATTATGAGCTGGAGAAAACCAGGGAGCAGACAGAGGTTTTGGAGTGCAGGGGATGTCTGCAGAGGACAGCAGTGGGGGAGCATCCAAGTGGGAATCTAAGCCTGAATAACCAGAACCTGCTGCAGGGTGAGAGGTTTGCACCAACCTGTACCTGGCGTGGTGTGACCCTTGGTGTGATGACTGGGGTGAGATGCAGCCCCATGGGAAGAGATGGGAGACAGGGAGAGTGCTACCTCCAAAGGGAACTTATCCCGAGGTGATTCCTGGGTATCCCTGACCTGAGGCCGCCCAAGGAGGAAAGGAAGGTCATGAGCGGAAACAAGAGCAGTGTCAGTGTCTGGGCTGGCTGAGCTCTCCCTGTACCCCGAGGGGGCAGAGGGCTGGGGCTGCCGCTCCTGCAGCCTGCCCAGGGCCCAAGATAGCCCAGCAGCTGCCCGGGACCTCGGCCAGGCACCAGTCCCGGCAGTCCCTGATTTGGATGTGACCTTTGAGCCTTGCACCCCTGCCTGAGGCTGGGGATGTGCTGGGGTCCAGCCAGCAGCAATAGCAACAGGGAAAATAGCCCCAGCTCCTGCTTGTGCCCAAAGGGGAGCAAAGGGGAGCAGGGTGGGAGACAAACATACCCCGTAACCCTTCTGTCTCTGCTGCAGTGAGGCTCCATGACAGCATCTCTGAAGAGGGCCACCACTACCTGATATTTGACCTGTGAGTAATAGTTAAAGGCATCTCTTCATCCATCAGCAGCTGCTTGCTTGTTTCCACACCAGGGTGATGCACCCTGCATCCCACAGCCCCCCCAACTCTCCCCCATCCGTCACCTCACTCAAAACCTTCCCACAGCCTGGGTTTGAGCCAAGCTTGGGTCCCCCGAGCCGGGCAGAGGGCAGTCTGTGCCCTGCACACCCAATGCTCCCCCTGTGCATGCTGCAGTGGTACTTTGGAGGGGTTTGCCAGCACTGAGTGTGCTGTAAATCAACCCAGCTCTTTGAGATGGCCAAGTGTGACTTGCCCTGTTCTCCTGCAGGGTCACCGGTGGGGAGCTGTTTGAGGACATTGTGGCCAGGGAGTACTACAGCGAGGCGGATGCCAGGTGAGCACGGACACACACCGGGCTGTGGAGGGGACAGCAATTGTCCCCTTCTCCTGTGAGCTGCTCCCTCCCAGGGTCCTGCGTGTCTGGCTTGCACAGCCCGAGTTCCTTCCATGCTGGGAGGTGTTTTACAGCCGCTCTGCGGCACATCCACATAAACCAGATGTGTAGTGGAAAAAAACCAACCACAAACCCAACTCTTTTTAACTCACTCAGCCCCTGCGCCAAGAAGTGAGTGTGTTACTGCAGGGATGGCTTCCCCTTGAATAAGGCTTCTGCCAGCCATCACTTGCAGCATCCTTCTTCCCCGGGCTGATGGCCCAGCCTACATCTGAGGTCCCTGCGAAGGACCAAGGCTCCCTGGTCTGGCAGGGGGGAAGCCCAACACCATGCTGGTGCCCCAGCCAGAAGCGTGGTAGCACAGACACTGCACACAGTCCTCACCCCTTCCCCTCGCAGCCGCACTACCATCGTTTGCAAGCTTCTCTCTGGCATTTACCACTTGCAAGCACTAAGGAGGAGCGGTAAAGACAGGCTGGGTGGGAGGATGTGCTGGAGCTCTGCTTCCTCCCATCGTCCCGCTGGCACCAGGTACCCTGCTGCAAAGGCGAGGGGTTGGGACCATCAGAGCCACCCCTTCAGTCCATGCAGCTTGGCCAGGGGACAGCAGGGGCTCTCACCTCTCACACAGCTATCTCTCCAGCTATCGCTGTGCCTCTTGGCTTTGCCCCCAGGATAAGCATAGCCCGTACAAAGGTCCAAGGGAGTGGTAAGCTCTGTCTGTGTGGAAATACTGCAGAAAGCAATCTCATTTAATGGGTTGCCTGCGCTGAATCCAGTTACAACTCATCCACTTATTAGTGTCATGCAAATAAAATCAAATAGATGTAAATAAAGGCGTTCTGCCTTGGACACAGTTGTTTGGGAGCAGAAGCGATCATCGCCTTGGTCTTTTTCCCTTCCTTTCTCATGCGTGCAGCAGAGATGGGGTTTGATGAACTAGACACAAAGCCAACAGACACAGGGAGAGCTAGAGGAGGCCAGGGAAATGGGGCTGAAGTGAAGGGTACCTCTGTGTTTGAGCAGCACATCTGGGTTCGGACACCAAATCTGGGCTCACATTGTGACTACACCACTGGTCTCCAGCTCCCCTCTGCTGTTGCTTCTATGGGGACCCCATGGGATCAGCTATAGCCCCCATGCTTGCAGTGGCTGGGTGTCTTACTGGGTTACAACTGCTCTCTATGGTGGTGTGGCTTTTGGTGAGGGGGACACTGAGCTGTGCTGCAGGGCTGCTGGTGGGGTGCACGATGGGGAGAGGGGCAGGGGGTGAAATGCACCCAAGCAGCAGTGTCAAAGGGAACTCTGCCTCACTGGCACTTCCATGAGCTCTCATCTTTCTCCTGCAGCCACTGCATCCAGCAGATCCTGGAGGCCGTCCTGCACTGCCACCAGATGGGGGTGGTCCACCGGGATCTCAAGGTAGGAGCTGCAGGGGAGTGCTTGTGAACCCCCTATGCCATGCAAAACCCTGTGGAGCAATGCCCAGTGTCCTCCAAGGCAACTGAAACAGCAGCGAAGAACAGCATGTAGGGCTTCTGGAGAGCCACAGAGCAAAGACCAGCTCTGGGCTGAAACAGCACAAGGGAAAGGGGCTAGAGAGGTCCTTGAAGTCCGTGTTTTGCTCCTCTTCAACCCCTTTCTCCTCCTGCAGCCCGAGAACCTGCTGCTGGCATCCAAGCTGAAGGGTGCTGCCGTCAAGCTGGCTGACTTCGGCCTCGCCATCGAGGTGGAGGGGGACCAGCAAGCGTGGTTTGGTGAGTAGGATTGGCCCGAGGCGGGGCATGCTCCAGCCCTTGTTTGGTCAGGGGATGCTCCGGGAGGGATGCACATCCCCTGGAACTGAACTCCGGGTTATGGGAGCATCCTGGCCGCACCAGCCTGGGAGGCAGAGGTTGATGGCTCCAGCTGAGCCCCTGGAAACAGCCCAGTACTGACCCAGGGCACAGGCAAACAGCTCCACAGGACTTGGTGAGTCACCAGCATGTCCTGGTGAGCCCGATAAGCCAGCAACAGGGGTTGTGGAGGAAAGCCTCTTCCAAGTGTTGGATGTGCATGGCAGAGCATTCCAGGCTGATGCGCCAGCCTGGGGTGTCACGGTTTGCTCTGCTTTGGGGATAAACAGAGGTTTCTGGAGGGAGGGTGCCTGTCCCGCTGGGTTGGCATGTGCCAGGACCAGGGCTCTTGGCTCTCGTGGCGCTGCTGGTGAGCTGTGTGGGGATGGGAGCTGCACCCTGGCAGTGTGTGACGGGCTCTCTGTCCCAGGTTTCGCCGGCACCCCGGGATACCTCTCTCCCGAGGTGCTCCGGAAGGATCCCTATGGCAAAGCCGTGGACCTGTGGGCTTGTGGTAAGTCAGACCGGGGCTGAAATGCCAGGAGAGGGCCGGGCTGGCTGCGTGGGATGAGGCAGGCTGTTCATCCAGCATGTACTGAGTCACGGCTGCTAGACACGTCTCAGGAGGTCAGGGGGGAAGATTCACCCAGGAAATGGCACAGCAGCAGCCACATGGGAGCCTTCTTCCATTCGCAGTGGGGAGGAGGCATTGCCTAGCCCTGCCAGGGCACGTAGCCTCAGGCTGTGCATGGTGGCCACCGTGTATCTCTCCAGGTGCTGAGCACATCAGCATGGAGCTGGACCCACCAACAAGCCTTTTGCTCCTTATTCAGGGAGCAAATCCTCCCGTTCCCCTGATGTCTCAGTTTCTCTGCTTGAGTCAGGCCATTCCCTGGGTTCAGTTTGCTCATACCTCCAACAATGAACTCTCCCACTGATCCCACGTCTCTCCTGGGCAGGCGTCATCCTCTACATCCTGCTGGTTGGGTACCCGCCCTTTTGGGATGAAGACCAGCACCGACTCTACCAGCAGATCAAGGCTGGGGCTTATGATGTGAGTGGGTGTGTCTTGCTCCCCCCTTTCACAGTGTCCCCTCTCTCCTGCTGTCCCTGCCCTGCAGCCTGCTGCTCCAGAAGAGTAACCAGGACAAATTCAGACAGATGGGAGCAAGTTTCCTTCCTCTGCTCTGTCCAAGCTGCCGTGCCCATGTGCACACTGACCTGTTTCAGTTCCACTTTGCAGGACAGATAGGTCTCATCCTGGGCCTTCCACTTTTCTCCCTCCACTCCTGCTCTTCAGTTTTCTATCTGGCAGCTCCTTGCAGTTGCTACTATCTCCCCAACCTGTCCCATAGGCAGGAGCAAAAGATTGCAGGAGCATCAACTCAACAGGCTTCTGCTCCTATTGCTCCCTGCGGTCTCTCACCCTAATCCCTTTGCTTTGGCAGTTCCCATCCCCTGAGTGGGACACAGTGACTCCCGAAGCAAAAGATCTCATCAACAAGATGCTGACCATAAACCCATCCAAGCGCATCACAGCAGCAGAGGCTCTGAAGCATCCCTGGATATCAGTGAGTTTGGTGGCACTCAGTGGTTAAGATCGAAGATCTGGAGATGTGGGGGTTCCCAAGAGGGGAACATCTCACCGGGAGCACATGTTATCAAACATACTGCCTGGCTCTCTTCTCCACCCTGGGAAGATGGTTCCTGGCATGGTTCCTCCCAGTGCTCTCAGAGCAGTCTTTCCCCTGAGGCTTTGCAGCAGAGAAAAGCCGGGAGTGTGAATGCAAACAGCATATCCCCATGGAGCTGGTGATGGGAGCGACACACATGTTCCCAGCCCTGGTGGGGACAGGCTGGTTCCTTGGCATTACAATGTGCTGGGGGGGGGGGTGCTTTTCTCAGGGATGGTGGGAGCAGGCTCGTGTTTACCCATCCACACACCCCATCAGCAACTTCCCCCTGCTCGCTGCACCCCACTGCTCCCGCTGCTGGTTCTCACCCTGGATCAGCACCTAAAGGCAGGGGGAGCCCATGGGTTTAACGCTGGGGTCTTACACCATGTGCAGACCCCAAGCACACTGACTGGTCAGCAGAGGGGTTAACGCAGGGGGCAGCCAGCTCTGCCTGCACCCCCCTGCCAGAGCAGATCCTGCTGACTCCAGAGCTGTGATCTCCTGCTGCCTATTAAAGCTCCATCTCCTGCTGCTGCTGCTGCTGCAGGCAGCTCTGGCCTGTGCCCTGGCCACAGGAGATCTCACACGTGTGCATGTGTGTGAGAGCAGGGCTGGGGGAGCCTCTTCCCACCCTGGACCCGCTCTGAGCCGTGTCTCTCTCCCCTCAGCACCGTGCCACTGTGGCATCATGCATGCACAGGCAGGAGACGGTGGATTGCCTGAAGAAGTTCAATGCCCGGAGGAAGCTCAAGGTAACTCTCGTACTCTCCAGGCTGGCTGTAGAATGCATGGTGGGTTTGTTCCCCATGTGGGAAAGGAGAGGGTGGTGCCATGGGGGTGACAGACATTTGGGGAGCCCCGCTGCAAAGAAGGGGAAAGAGACTGAGTGCAGTGGTGGCTGCATCTGACTGGGGTTAGAGGAAAGCCACGGTGAGGGAAAGCACTGAGGCACACGGCTGCCCTGGGCACTGAGGTGAGGACTTTGCCACTGGAGTCACTGTTGAGGAAGCTCCTCTGTGGGGCAGGACATGGATCTGAGAGGGACAGGGAAGCCCCTTTGCATGATGAGCAGGCAGGCAGGGAGCTAAGTGGTCCATAGACAGGCAAACAGCTCTGGCTCATCCACACCAGCAGCCACACAGGCTTCCCCTTCTTGGATGCTGCCATGTGCCGCAGCCTGGACCCCCTCTGAAATCACCATCTCCCCAGGCTTCACTGCCAAGCACCCACCTTCCTGGCGCTTCTGAGCCTCAGCACAGTGCTGGGAACAAGCTCTGGACATCACAGTGCTTCCCCCAGAGCCGGAGACACAGGATGGGACAGCTCTGCTTTGTGCCGTGACCAGGCCTGGAGGTGATGTGGCACAGAGCAGTACAGCTGCAGGCCACTAACAGGATTATCAAGGAAAGAAACTGGCTATAAACTATTATTACTTTTTGGCTAGACAAGTAATCAAATTAGTTCAGGCACACACTTCAAAATAGTAATTCATTACTGCAAGCAATCAGTCTGAAGTAATCCCATTATTCACTGAGCAGTTAGTTGGTAGCCTCAGCTGGAAAAGGGGAAGCATGTTTATGGATGTTATTTTGTGGTGGTGAACTTTGCGTGGCTCCCATGAAAAACCCCTGTCCTGCTGCACTTAGCTGGCACAGATTTAATTGCAATGAAATCCGGTTCCGCTGCCGGTGCCTCCCCTTGCTGCCAGCCCCGGTCAGTGGAGTCATGCTACATCCAGGGCAAGGTAGAAAGAGACTGAAATGTGCCCCGGGGACATTTAATATCCCTTTAATCCTGGAGGGAAGGCAGTTTTGGAGCATGCAACCCAACGCTGGGGAGGTGGAGTCGGGTACCCAGGGATGCTTTTGATGGCAGGAGGAGGATATCATCCCGTGGGCCTGTTTCCTTCCAGCGAGGTGGCTGGGGACAGGTGATGAGCAGGGCTTTCTATTCCTAAGGCTGGGGGGAGTGGAGGGATGCAGGGGGCCAGGGCCCAGCACACCCTTTCCTTCTGCCTTCTGTGTCTTTCAGGGGGCCATCCTCACCACCATGCTGGCCACCAGGAACTTCTCCGGTAGGTGCCGTCTCCGGGGCTCACCTCCTTGTCTTACAAGGCAAACCCTTAGGGTCCCTTGGCAGCCGGCTTTGTCTCTGGTGTCACAGTGGGGCTGAGGTTGCAGCCTGATGCTGGTACAGGCCATGTTACCTGGTACCTCCAGGCTGGGTTGAGATGCAAGAGAAGAGGTGTCTGGCTGAGGCACAGAGATCACCAGAGGTTTAGTCTACATCCAACCATCTGGCTTGTGCTAGGGTAAGGATGTGGGTGCCGAAGGCAGCCAGGGCTCAAGCAGCTGCTTTAGTGTCCTCACGGAGATGTTTGTGGCTCTGGAGAGCATCCTCCACACCATGAAAGTGCTGGAGGCACTGCAGACAGATGGCAGCAGGGTCCCTCGGGTTTGATCCTGCAGGGATCTCCTCCTGCTCCCTATATCCCAGAGTCTGCATAGAGACACAGGAGCAGAGCAAGGAACCAACCTTTGCATGGGGAGAGGTAATGGTGCAGCTACAAGCTCCCCTGGCCCAGTATCCTCTTGGGGACACCCTGCTGCCTCGGAGCAAGCCTTGCAGGTAGGATTCTGCAGGCAGGGATCAGTGCATCCTGGCCACTCCCAGGCACAGAGCTCATCCTCTCGCTGTCACCTCCAGCCTTCCCCACCACTGTGGATGGCCCCAACAGAGGTGCTGCAGTGATGGGACGAGCCAGCCAAGCCTGGCACACTAACGGAAGGGACTGGTGGCATCTGGTTGGTGTTAGATGGGTGCTTTGCCAAGGCGCCCCAGGAGCGAGGTGTAGGAGATGGGTGCTGCTGGCCCCGCTGGGTGCTGGGGCTGTGTCCATGGCTGGTATCTGCATTTGTCATGGGGGGGAATTGCGCTGGTCCCACATTTAGCACTTGTGGGCAGCCTGCGGTGGGGCTGGAGCAGCCCAGCAGCTGGGGGGATCCGGTGTCAGCCCCCGCGCCGCCGGGACACGCGGCATCAAAGGGCAGGAAACCCAAAAGCATCGCTCATGGCGCTGCCTGCCCCACGCACACAGCGCGGCAGGGGATGGCGCTGAGCCCCTCCGATGCCGGGGTGTCCCTGTGCGGGCCGGGCGGTGGGCGCTGGGGCAGGCTCCTGCTTCCCATCCATGCCAGAGCATGGCTGCAGCTGTCGGCGGCCCCGCAGCACATGATCCCGGCAGCGTGGGGCTAAAATTAGAGGGCGGCAGGCGGGGAGCCCATTCCACAGCGCTGCACCACGCTGGGGCACCAGCACCCCCTGCACACAGCCCTGCGGCCCCCAGAGCGTGACGCGGGGACACGGGGCATGCCCCTGGCTGGAGCCAACGGGGCAGGCCGGGACGGTCACCCGTGAGGGTTGTGCTGGAGAGAGGACGAACGCCGGTGTTCCTGAGGGATCCCTGCCGCCCGGCACCATGCTGCTGCTCCTCGCCCTGCTGGTCCTGGTGCCCTGCCTGGCTCTCCTGATCTCCTTCCTCCTCTCTCCAGGAGGCAAGAGCGGTGGCAATAAGAAGAATGACGGCGTGAAGGTAAGCGCGCTCCGCGCCGCCCCGTCCCGCCTGCCCTCCGCTGCTGCGGGGCACTGCGGTGGGCTCTCCGTGCGGCACCCGGTGCTGTAAAGGGCAGCTCTTGGCCCGGCTGTCCCTGTGTGTCCCCGTGCTCGGCTCCTGCCAGGACAGGCAGTGCACCGCGCACCCAGAGAGGGGAGAGAGGAGAGCGCTTCATTGCTGACCCCCAGGGAAGGGGAGAGGCAGAGGCTGGACCAGGAGAGGGGACGGGGGACATGGGGTTCACCCATCGAGTGAGATGGGTGGCTGCATCTCCTGCTCGCCCCAGCGTGTGGCTGGTGGGGCTGGGCTCGTCCCCACCATCCTGTCCCATCCTGTCCCCAAGGGCTGAGGTGTTGCTGGGTGGCACATGAGTGTCTTCAGCCCTCTCAACAGCACTGCTGGCCCGCTGTGCCCAGTGCAGGCAGAGCGAAGGAGCTTGGTGATACTTGGCAGAATAAATGGCTTGCTGATGCTCTCAGAACAAGCTGGTGCTTGTTTTCTTGGCCTGCAGAGCCCTCAGGTTCGCCTGACCCTCCAATGTGGGGCCAGGCCATGACAAGGTGGCTCCTGGAGGCAGCAAAATCCTGCTGCCGAGCAGCTTCTTGTGATATGGAGCTGTGGTGGTTGGCAGTGCCAAACTCCTGCAGGAAGGAACGGTCCAGCCAAGGCCTTTCCTTACCTGTTCCCTCACGGACACAAGCCATCACCCAGCAGGGAGAGCGTGTGCGATCACATTCCCCACCACAGGACAGGTGAGGCAGAGCTCTGGGAGCCTGACTGCAGCATGGCTGCTCTCCTTCCTCGGGCCCTTTCACAGGGACCCTGTGAGGGGAGCAGGGTTTTGGGAGCGCAGAGCCCTCAGCTGGCTGCTGCCCTCCTCAGTGGAGCCAGGCCTCTGGGGCTGGATTGTCTTTCTCCCAGTCCTTCCAGACCCAGCAGCTGGGACAGGACAAGCCTGCAAGGCTTGAGACCATGCACAGCTTCCAAACCTGGGCTCAGCTCCACAACAGACAATTCTGGAGCACCCTGCTCTAGTGGAAGGTGTCCCTGCCCATGGCAGGGGTTGGAACTGGATGAGCTTTACGGTCTTTTCCTACCCAAACCATTCGATGAGTCTATGATATGATTCTGTGAGAGCCATCAGGAGATGCATTTTTAAGCCATAAAGGAGATTGGTGGGGGGAGAGGCTTCATCAGGCCTGGCCCAGCAGAAAGAGACAGCTTTGAATTCCATCTCTAGCAATCCTGGGATGGTGTGGTGATAGAAGACCATTTGCCAGCCCAACTTACTAATGACACTCCCTCTTGGACTTCCAAGTAGCTTTGGGGGCAGCTGTTATCCTGGGAAGTGGGGCACTTCTAGCAAAATAGCTGGTTTGGGTAAACAGGCTTCTAGCCCATCACTACAACTCAGTGAGGAGGGTCTGGTTTCAGACTGGTATCCCCAGTCCTCAGCCCCTTGTTGCAGAGTGGAAAGCAACAAGTGAGGCTTCACCCTGAGTGCAGCCAGCCAGCTAACACTCAGCTCAAGAGGGTGTACAGGCTCTGCAGAATGAGTTTGCACTTTTACTGCCCCCTTTCCAGTAAGTAGAGGTGAGACAAGCTGGCTAGATGGCCAGAAGGTAGAAGAGGAGAAGACAAAGTAGAGGCAAACTCATTCCCAACAGGTTGCTTATGTTGGCCACCCTCAGCATTACCATTTGCACCTCATTCCCATGCTTAATCTGGGGGGATTTATAGCATAACCCACTCATGGGGCACAGGGAGGCTGGGTGCTCTGGACAAAGCTTTGATGGCCCTCCATGGGCAGCTGGCACATGTCAGGGCATCACTGGTCGGTGGTCATTTCTTTCCATCTTGCTGGGAAAGCGAGGCAGGAAAGTGGAAACCTGCCTTGGCTGGGTGGGAAGGGAGCAGTCCTGCCTGCTCAGAGCAGGGCTGTGAGTCAGCCTACACGGTGTGGGTCATTGCAGGAAGAGTTGTGTCCCCTTATGGAGGAAGCTACTGGACTGACCATCCCCATGAGAGCAGCCACTGCTCTTGCTCCTGCCTAAAGCTATGCAGTGGGCAGCAGGTTGCTGCCTCCCAGCCTGCCCACACAGCCCTCCAGCACGCGGATGGTGCTAGCCCAAGCTCTGAGGACTACAGAACACCCTCCTGAGGAGGTTCCTCCCCTACTAAAGCATTCATGGGACCAAAACTCCCTCTCGAGCCCTGCGCTGGGGTCTGTGGGAAGTCTTCTGGTCCCAGCAGTTACGATACCTTCACTGCCCTGTGTAGTGTCGCATCTCGTCCCATTGTAAACTAATGAACTCACTGCCCCATGTCACATCCTGTCCCGTCCTAAATTAATGAGCTCACTGCCCCGTGTCGCATCCTGTTACTGTATGTCCAGACTCGACGCGGTCACTGCTTTGTGTTGCATTCTGTTGCGTCTGAAACTCCTGCAGTTTGCTGCCCCTTCTCACATCCTTGGGTAGCAGAAGCTGTCAGCCCCGCTCCAACAGCTCTGTTCCACACGAGGTTCCTTCTGAAGTACTGCAGCTCACGCTGCCCTTTAGGACATCTGTTGTTTTGGTGAAGGAGGGATGAGGATTAATGTAGGACCTGGTGAGGGAGGAGAGAGCTGCATCAGTAGAGGGGGAATCTCAGTGATGCTGCTGCTGGGAGCCAGTTAGGATGTGAAAGGAGCAGTGAGGGGGAATGGATAGCAACAGCTTTTACACTGCAGCCCACACATGCACCCTAATGGGTTGCTCCATGTGCTTTTCCAAGAGGTTTGCACTCTGTGTGCTGCTCTCCCCTGTGAGGGCAGGAAGAGCCAGTGCCTTGTTAAATGTGCTGGTAAATACTTCGCTATTTGGCGCTGCAGCCTCTAATTCCTGCACGCTGGTGTTCCCTGCTGCCTGCTGTGATTCATCCCCCGGAGGATGGAGAAAGGGCATGAGGCCAGCATGCACGTCCCCTGTCTCCTGGGCAGATTAAAGATGGAGATGGGAAGCAGAACACAACAAGGAGAGTCCAGAAGTAGTTTGGAGTTGCCGGCAGAAACATGGCTATGGGGTCATCCAACCCCAAAGCCTTAAAGCCTAGTGGTAGTGGTCAGGAATGGAGATAAATATGTGTAAGGTCTTCTCTTTGGAGGAGACTTGTCCTGATTGAAAGCACTGGACCTGTGCTCAGGACAGCTTCCCACATGGTGTGTCTGCCTTGTGAGGTTGAGTAGCAAAAGCGACGCTGGCTTTAAACCAGCCAGACTAGTACTGGTCTGGGTCCAAAGCTAATTGAGCATCTCCACACTAGTCAGCAGCATGGGCAGATGCACTCAGAACAGCTCCAGAGCCTAAATGTCAGTATGGCATACACACAGGGTGCAGGGTGGTGGAGCTGCCTTAGCTTTTCAGCATCCCACTCCTGTCCCTGCAAACCTGTTCACAAAGCCACCAGAGTGGCCATCAAGTCCTAGGGGACTCCCTTTTGGACTAGCCAGGTCCTTGAGATGAGCAACACCAGAGATTGTGGCAGATCAGGTGCCAGCAGGAACTCGGGGAGGGAGCTGGCATGGCACCACCAGCACCACAGCCTGCAGCACATCCCTACAGGAGCAGCAGGTTGCCCCCCCTGTGCCTTTCGTTTGACCCTCCAAGAGGACACGAAGGGTGGCTCAGGAGCTGCTGCCTCTCACGTGCTGCTTTCAGCCTTTCTCACTCTGTGTCTCTTCCTGTTCCATCTCTTCTCCTTGTTTTTCCAGAAAAGAAAGTCCAGTTCCAGCGTTCAGTTAATGGTGAGTGTCCTTCGTCTTCCTCAATGCCGATATTGCTGGGCGCCTCCACATGCTCCAGCTCCCCCCGTTTTTGGAAGTTACCTCGGGGTAGGGAAGAAGGGACACCGGGGTTGGAGGGAACATCCTCAAAGCTGTATCACCCACAAACCCCATAAACAGGGTTGGTGCAGGCACTTGCTGGCCACCGGCTGGTAGGAAGCCAGCCCTGGTTCTTGCTGATGGGTTCTCATGCCGTTTCTCCCAGTTCTCCTGACTCAGGTCTGCAGGCTGCATCGGTCCAAGGAGCCTTGGAGAAACACCTTCCATGCCTCTGCGGGGACTGTATGGTCATGGGACACCTTGCCAACCTACATCGGGGTATTATGGGTAATACATAAGCAAGGCTCTGCTGGGAAGAGCTAGCAGAGCCATTGCTCTAGCTCCGCTAGCAGAGTTGCCTTGATGGGGCTCCTGGAGAGAGACAGGGGGTCAGAACCCCTCTTTCCCCCCAAAATCTGTGTAGTGCTCAGCTGTTTCTTGAAAGAGCTGTGTCTCAGCCTTCGATGGTCCATGTGGGTCTTGGAAGCACTCTGTTTTATCGTACATTTCTCTCCCTACTCTGCGGTCAGTGTGGTCTCTCTCACTCCTGCACAGTCCCCTCTTTCTCATCCCAGCTCCTCCTCGCTGTTAATTTGTACATCTCTCTCTTTATCGTACAGTCAACATGGTGTCTTCCACCCCTGCACAGCCCCTCTCCCTGCCCCTCCGGCAACGCTCCTAGGAACCCAACAAACCCCCCTGGACCTGCCCCATCTCTGTCCCCACAGGTGTCGGTAGGAAAGGCAGCGCCGTTCCTACGGGACCCTCCACAGCCCAGCTCTTGTGCCCTTGGCTACAAGGAGTGGAGGTCAGGGAGGGCTCTGCCAGCGCTGCCCTAGAGCTGTGGTTGAGGACGGGTTGGACCTGCTGGTGTTTTCCTTGCTTTCCATCCGCCGGCACAGTCGGGTCGGACTCGGGGGGCTGTCGAACACACGAGCTCCACCTGGCGTGGGGAGATGGCCCCTCTCACCGCCCCGTCCCTCCTTTCTGTTCTTTGCTCAGGAATCGTCGGAGAGCACCAACACCACCATCGAGGATGAAGACACCAAAGGTACCGCTGGGGGCACACGGGGAAGCGGGCAGGATGCTCCAGAGGGTGCCCCGGGGTTGTTAGTCTGGCCATCTCTAATGAGATACTGGCTTTGGAGAAACCCACCACCATGGAGCTGCCTCTGGGCCTTTCAGATGTTGACCCTCTGAATGGTGAGGAGGATGGGGTGTTCCCAAAATAGGGATGTTCCCTGAAAGCAGGCATGGAAATAGCAGGAATCTGCAGGGATAGCAGCCCAGCTACCCGCTCCTCCGAAAGAAATGGCCCTTTGGGAATAGCCTCCAGGGGAAATCCCTGCCTCCCACCTGCCTGCCAGAGTCAGCTTTCTAAGAATAACCCAGGGAATAACATATCGGTGCTAATGTGTAAAGACTCTCAAAGCGATCTCAGCACAAACCAGGATGGACTTTGGCCTGACACGAGGGTTAATGGGACATGAGTCCTCCTGGGGAAGGCAGGCGGTGCTTGGGAAGTGGTGGGTGTCCCTCTCCTCAATCCTTGAATTAAATCAAGCATGATGCTCCTTTGCATTTGAAGCAAAGCGTTGTTAATAAGACCAGGGTTGCCTCTGACAGCTCCTGCGTCCCAGGGAGCTGAACCTGCCCCAGATGAGCCGACAAGGACCAAGGGCAGCTCACCACTCGGTGATTAACCCTTTTGCTCTTTAGGAAGACACAGGGGTTTTCTGTGCCACCCTCACTTTCAGGGGTGAAAGCCCTTTCCCACATCTCTCTCCCAAGTCGCTCCCCTGCTTTTTCCCTGGATAGTTTCCAAAGTCCCCCAAAGCCATGTGGTCTGTTTCTAATGAAAACAAGAGCTCTCACTGATGCTGCAACACCAGCACTTCTGCTCTGTGTTCTCCTTTTATTTTCTATTTCTCTTTAAACCAACAGTACGGAAGCAAGAAATCATTAAGGTCACAGAGCAGCTGATCGAAGCAATAAGCAATGGTGACTTTGAGTCCTACACGTGAGTATGCTCAGCATGGGGTTGGATCGGGGTGTGGGCTCAGCCTCCCAGAGTGGGTGCTTCCACTGGTTTTACTGCTGCCCAGGGTGATGAGGTTGATGTGATGGTGTAGCACTGAAACCGGGAGGCAGGGAACATCAGTTTCCAAACCTGATGCTTCTCTCACACTAAGCTGACCACAGCTCTCTGGTCTCATTACTATGGATGAGCCTATTTCTGGTTTGCAGAAAGATGAATGACTGTAAACATGATTTATGGTGGAAGAAGGAACATTGCATCCATGGTATCCATTATATCCAGATTGCCACAGGCTGTTTGGAAGCATAACTGCTTTCTACTTGCTGAGCTGATGCTCTTCAGAGTACCCTTCTGTGTCCAAGGCCTATTTAATTAGCATTGTCTGAGCGAGTGCAGGTCTTCATCCCTGCCTCAGAGAATCACAGCAGGGATATTTTGATGCAGAGCAGAGAATATGACTTTTCCCCTGCTGTTTTTATTTCTTACAAAGAAGATAGCTGTGTTTTGGGAGGTTTAATTTGAGATGGTGGATGATGGAGAATTTACCCTGCCTGCTTGGGGTCCTGGCTGCAGTCAGTGGGCTGGAGGAGAGGTGGGGTGGGCTTCATGCAGCATATAGGGCTGAGGTCAGTGTTCTGCTTGAGTTACTTGCTGAGGGAGTCATCCTGAGCATGGGCTTGCAGAGTTCCATGCCTGAGATAACCTCTCCCTTTCCTCTCCCCTTGTTACCTCCCCAGGAAGATGTGTGACCCTGGCATGACTGCCTTCGAGCCCGAGGCTCTGGGCAACCTCGTGGAAGGCCTGGATTTCCACCGATTCTACTTCGAAAACCGTAAGCAGCCCCCTTGCATCTTGAGGGACCCTTCCCACCTCCCATGGGCCCGGCTGTGTCTTGATCTCCATCAGCTTCCTGCAGAGAGGAGGGTAAGGGTGGTTTTGGGAGCATCTCTGGCTGATCTGGAAGATTCCAGCAGGAGAATCAAGCCTGTTAGGTCAGCTGGGGACAGCCTGCATGCAGAGGAGTTGTTTGGTTAGCTGCTTGCTAGGTGGACCCATCCTGAACCCACCCGGGCAGCACTGACTCATCCCCACCAAGCAGAGAGCCTAAACCAAGCATCTTCCCTTCCCGCACTGCAAAAGCCCCCCAGACTCCTTCCCCTGCCTAAAGCCGCTTGTCCTTGTGCCCTCTTCAGTGTGGTCCCGGAACAGCAAGCCTGTGCACACGACGATCCTGAATCCCCACATCCACCTGATGGGAGACGAGTCTGCCTGCATCGCCTACATCCGCATCACGCAGTATGTGGACGCGGGGGGGATTCCCCGCACTGCTCAGTCCGAGGAGACCCGCATCTGGCACCGCCGGGATGGCAAATGGCAAATTGTCCACTTCCACAGATCCGGTGCACCCTCGGTCCTACCGCAGTAACCCCTGTGAGGCTCCGGGGATGGGGAGTGGGGGGCAGGAGGGGACGATGCAGGTGATAAGGAGAGGGATGCTCTGCCAAAGCGATGGTCGGAGCAAGCTCCTTCCCTTCCTGGTTTGTGTTTTGCAGCTGAAGCGCGGTCCTGCCCGTGTCGGGTTTGTCACTGACTGACTACTAAGGGGACGCCCCCTCCGACATCTTCACCTACGGGACTTTGGCTGTTGGCTCTGCTGCTTGGTTCCCGCTGGAATAACCCCTCGCTTCTCACCGCACACACGCAACAGCCCTGCCGGCACCGCGCAAACCTCCCATCGAACCCCTCCACCCCGCCGGGGCCCCCTTCCTCTGCATGAACCAAGAAAAGAGAAACCACGAACCTAAACCCGAGTGTCTGGCCAGTGAGGTGATGTGCCCTCAGCTGCATGGCGTTGGTGGGACCCCCCCCCACTACCCAGCACGTCTCCTGAGTTGGGCTCGGACTCATCATCTCCATCTCCACCTCCGCCGGGAGCCCCCTGAGGACGAGGAAGGCGGTGGGATAGTTTGGAGCCACTCCGTGCTGTACCCTCCCTGTGTGCAGTGGATTTTGCTTTGCTGCTATCAAGGTCCCTGTCCGTCACCGTGGCTCTTGTCTGCTCCCGACCCGAACTACTGCTTCCAGGCAGCCTTGACTGGGGAACCACGATTTAAACCATCTGCAAAGCCCATTTTCCACGTGCCCCCAGGCGAGGAGGGCAGTGTTTGGATGGGTGAGTAAAGGCTGTTTGTTTCCCCTTCCCAGGAGCATAGGCTGACTCCTCAGGAAAGCGAGTAGGTTTGCACCCTGGCTCCGGACGGACGGGGGTGCTCTCCCTCCTTCCTCCCTTCTCCTGTTGGAGCAGGAACCAGAAAAGCTGGGAGAAGAGAGGAGAAAGATGACTGCTTCCCAGCACTGCGCTGGCACCGGGGAGCCGGGGCTCTCCCAGCCATGCCATGGTGACAGCATTTCTCTTGTGCCCTCCTCACCCACCACCCATCCTGGATCGTCCACCCCTGCCCCTCGCATGCAGCATCCAGTGTTCCCCATGCTGGGATGGGGGCAACTGAGCTGGGCATGGATTCGGGGTGCAAACCTCCATCACCCACCCGACTCCTTCCAGCGACAATGAGGAATGCGAGCTTTAGTAACGAAACTCTGCTTTGAAGAAAACAAACAAGCCTTTAGCTGTCTTCTACTTTGAGCGCATGCCTTTTTATAGGGAGAACAACCTTCCGTGTATTTCGTAACTTGACTTTGAGTATTTGCTGAAATGAATCTTTATGTAATAACTAGAAATGTTCAACTGTTTAGGGTGGAGGGGGTGGGATTGGGGGTTGCTGTTTTTCATTGCGTTTACATTTGGAGATGGGCTGCGCTGCCACGATGCTCCTACCAGGGGTCCTGCGGATGCCAGCCCCCACCCCATCCCATCCCTAAGCATTGGGTGGGCAAAGGAACCCATATCCAGGGGCACCCACCTTCCTGGGGCACCTTCCTGCACCCCATGGGTCTTCCTGCAGGGTAAACCCAGGCAGTGGCTCTTAGGGAGCCATCGGGACATGGCTTTCAGGACAGAAGACATGGCCGGGAAGGGGAATTTTGGTCTCAGCTCTTCGCCATCAGGGAGAGGTCTGAGGTTGGATATTTTCCTGGCAATTCTTCCATTTCTTGTTCTCTTTTTTCCCAACTGGAAGCTCTTTGCTCGTTGAGGTGAGGCTCCTGCAGCACTGCTGCTCTGGGGGAACTTTCTAGCTCCACTCTTTTCATCTGCATGGCGTTTAACTTTCTAGACAGTGCGTGTGATGAAAAAAAAAAAGAAATGAACAAAAAAAAATGCTTGTTTTGGACATAAAAAAACAAAAAGGGGGGGGAGAAAAAAAAAAGAAATGTTTTTTTTCATGTAAATTCTGAGCGTGTATTTTGCCTTTTCTGTGGTTTTGAATGCTTTGCTCTCTTGTTGAGGCAGGGATAGCTGCTGTGCAAAACACAGCCTCATCCTTGCCCACTGCAAAAATATTTTCCCACTGGATAGAGGGGAAGAAATCCAAACTGCTGGGGCATGAACAGGCCCTGAGAGGTGTTTTGTTGTGTCCCGCTGTGCCGGCGGTGCGGTGGTTGCTGGTGATGTGTGTAGGAGATGTAAATGTTCTTCTCCGTGCTCTTGGTGGACCTGTGATGTTTGACCGTGGAGCTGTGTTGGCTTGCAAGAGGTGGCCCCAAAACAGGGAAATCCATGCAGGGAGAGGATTAGCTTTTAAGGTAGAGTTTGGGTGTTTTTACAGACCTGTTTTTGATTCCTGTAGTCAAGTAGTGCTGATTTTATTTCTTTTCTAAAGGAAGGACTCGGTTCTTTCACAGTTCTTTCCCTCTGATGCCACAGTGAGTGTCTCATCCGCCTCCTGATGCCCAGGCTCTCCAGGTGTCAGGAGTGGTTTTGGGGATTGGTATCAGATGGATGAGGATGGAGGAGGTTGTATCAGGGCCCTGCATAGGGGCTATAGTGCAAATGCCATTTCAGCCTGGCTTTGGAGCTGCTGATAGCTGTGGACGTTGGATGAGCTGTGAGGGTGAAGCTGTTCCAGCAGACACTACTGGAGGAAGGACTGGGACAGGAGGAGCAGTGGAATTTGCTAGGGATGGAGGATGAGATGCTGTGACGAATATAATCTCCTTTCATTGAGAGCTCACTTTGGGCAGTCACTGGTAGGGAGGAACATCTTGGTTTCCAGTAGGCTTTTGATGTGCCTTCTCGGAGGTGGTTTCTCCTCTTTGAGGTTTCAGTGTGGTCATCTCTTCAGGAACAGGTTCCTCTGGAGGCAGCTGGATGTCCTTGCAACACCTGAAACGTTCCTTATCATTTCCAAGGGAAGCAGAATCTGGGGTTTCAACTCCTTCCAGTCTTCCAGTCAAGCTGAAGCCTGACCAAGGAAGACCCAACTTCCCAACCTGCCCATGCTGGCAGCATTAAGCACCTGCACTTTAGGGGTCTGCTTTGTCTGGTTCCTATTCCCCACCTCACCCTGCTTCTCCAGAGCAGGTTTCTGTATTCCCAGAGCATCTCTGTGCAAGCACTGATACACCACTAACCCTTTCTTTCAGCAGCCATGGTGAACAGCTTCTGTCTCTTGTCTTCCTTCTTATCTCCTGATTTCTCCTAAACTTGCAGGAAAACTAAAACATAACCATCAACTGCCACTGTCCTTTGGCTCACAGAGCCAGGGCTGCTGCTGTTATGTCTGTACCTTTAAGCTGCTGGCACTGTTCCTGACACATGCAAACTGGCATCACCCCAACTATCCCACCATGGCTCTTGGGATGACAAGGACCAGAACATAAGCAATATGGACAAGGCTACCTTGTTGGGATGGAGATTACTACCATGGACCTGCTGGATCCCCATCAGCCTCAAGGATGGAGAATAGGCTGTGGCACATTTCATCCCCTAGTACAGACAATGCTTAACCGATTTGGTTGCCTGGCTATCTGGGTCAAACCCTTCAAACGGGTCATCTCTTCCACCTCTTACAGACCATAGGGGTCACCCGAGTGGAAGCACTTGCTGGGGTGGTCTCAGGCTCACAGCTCCATGGTGAGCTTGGGAATGGCCTGTTTTCCCTTCTTGGCTGCCAGGGTTCAGCTACAACATCATCCTGCCTCAGGTCTTGCTGGTCTGGAAAAAGAAGAGGCCATCCTGGGTCTCTGTTCTGTGCTGGAGGAGTGGGTGCTCTACTCCTTCCCCTGGCCAGGCACAGACAGGGGAGCTGTCTGTCCCCCTCTCCTCAAGTATATGTCCTCTTTGCCAGGCATCAAACCCTTGTCTGACCCCAAACCTGCTTTCTTTCCCTTTGCCTTCCATGAGTTGACACCTTCATGGAGCCCCAGAGGTTGGAGCAGGCAGCAGTAGCCATTTACTCCCTTTTTGAGATGACGGTCTGCTCTGCAGCCCATGGCAGGAGCGCTGGGGAGGACCAGCAAAGAGCAGTGCCACGTTTGAGAGGGAAAGCCACGTAGCCCTGTGGACCAAGGCGTGTCTACCAGCAGAAGATCCCATCACCATCTCCTCTGACAAGAAGCGCTAACCCTTCTTCCCTACTGCAGGACACATCTCACGGTGTACACCACTCTCTTGATGCAACAACCATCCTCCTCCTAGCAGGGTAGAGACCTCACATTGCCCGTTTCCAAAGGCACAGATCCCAGCTCATCCACACCAGACAGGGAAACCCAGATGTGAACAGGCTGTAGAATATTAGAGGAGGGGCTGATGGCCCCTCTGCCATCCATCCCTAAAGGCCACCCACCAGCTCCTGGCCAAATGTCCTTCCCTCTTGCAGGTCACAGGGAGTGGAGGGGGCTGTATGGAGCGGCTCCTTCCTTCTTTGGGTTCTTGTTGTCCCTTTTTTCTAACTGTTGCACAATTTTAGGGCTTTTGTAACATTTTTTGGACAAGCAGGGAAAATGTTAACAGTGATTTAAGAGAAAAAAATGAGATCTCTCTCATATATATTATATATATATAAAACTATATACTTACAGGAAACCTCTATGGAAAATATTTATTTAAGATGATTGCAAAAAAAAATATATTATAAGGAAGAGTTTACCAAGCTTTGTCACGTAACAGGAGATCAGGCCCCGGGGAGGGGTGGCTGCCTGTCCCCTCGTGTCTGTCAGTCCATGCGGTTGCAGCTGAAGCCTTTCTCTTCTCTTTTCGTAAGTGCACTCGAACTGTTGAGCAGTGTGACCGTGTCGGATTCAGCGGGAGCTTGGGGTGGGAGGGTTTGGGGTTGGGGGGATTGTTTTTGTTTCCTTTTCCTTTGTTTTATTTGGAACCTGTGGCTGTGAACAGAATGATCACTGCTCAAATCGGATGCTCTATCTGGGGAGGGCGGCGGGGGGACCGGGCGCGGGGTGGGTGTGGGAGGGAGGGCGAGTGTCAGTTTTATTCTTGGTGTTCAAGTGCAATAAATAGCTACCAACTTCTGAGCATGGAAACGGGTGATTCTCCGTCACTGCAGTGACTCACTGTCTGTCACCGCCTTGTCCCGCTGTCACCGCGCTCTTTCCTCGAAAGCAGAATGGGGATCAGGCATTGGGCAGTGGCTACAGGCAACGGGGGCTTTCCTCCTGCGTGCAGGATGTTGGTACCCTGGGCACTGCCTGACCCTGCCTGGCCACCACCAACCCTGGGCTTCGGGAGAGCTTGATGTCATAGAACCATAGAATGGTTTGGGTTGAAGGGACCTTAAAGCTCCTCCAGCTCCAACCCCTGCCACGGGCAGGGACCCCTTCCACTGGAGCAGCTTGCTCCAAGCCCCTGTGTCCAACCTGGCCTTGAGCACTGCCAGGGATGGGGCAGCCACAGCTCCTCTGGGCACCCTGTGCCAGCGCCTCAGCACCCTCACAGGGAACAGCTTCTGCCTCAGAGCTGAGCTCAATCTCCCCTCTGTCAGTTTGGAGCCGTTCCCCTGTCACTACGCACCCTTGTGAAAAGCCAGAGGGACCCCAGGGTGGGTTTGGGGATCCCAGGGGCAGCTTTGCTCATGAGGTCAGGGTGGCACCGGGGGACAGGGGCTGGGGTCGGGCTGCCACGGTCCCTGTGCCCCACCGCGCACGTCAGGCAGCAAGATCCCCCCTCCGCATCCCCATCCCTGCCATGTGCCGCGTCCCCGGCAGGGAGCAGCATCAGACCGGGAGCGAGCAGCGGGACGCGCTGGAGCCCAAAGCGGCGCCGGGGATGTGCCTGTGTCCGTGGTCCCTGGGAGGACCGGCTGGCATGCCGGGGTGCCGGGTGCGGATGCGGTATCGGTGCCAGGAGCAGGGTGTGCTGCCACCAGCGCATCCCACACCTCCCTGTGCTCAGCCACACATAGCCCTGGGGATGTCCCCTCTGTTGTGCCGCTGCCCCAGCAACTTTTGCCCTTGGTTTCCTTTCACTGCTGTCAGCTTTGCTTCCCAACACATCCCTGGTGCAGCCTCTGCTCCATCGTTCCCATCACTCTGCAACCGATTGACAGCACCTACCAAGTTCTGGGGTTACAGAGGGGGATTTAGGAAATGTGACAGGACCCCCTGCAAATAGAAAAAGGTCAGAGACACGCAGAAACCAGACCAGCTTGGTCAGCCCAAAGCACCTCCATCTCCATGCTGTGGGAACGCATCAGGCTCTCCTGGTTCCTTTGGCACACGGTGGCCACCAGCAACATGAAACACCATCACCGGCTTCATCACACCAAGCATGTGTGCCCCTCCTGGGGCCAGCTCAGCCTGTGTTCCCCAGCCAGCACCCCCAGCAATGGCTGGGCAGCACCATGACCTGCTGAGGCCTCCTGCTTGGTAAATAGTGTCAAGGTTAGAGCGAGGGATTCATTGGGGCCATAAACGTTTATGGCAGGCCCTCCCCGCTGCCCAGCCACCACAGCCTGAACTTTCCATCAGCGATGCTTTTATGGCTGGTCTCTAATGATTAACCCTGCCTAGCTGCCGAAGGTGCTTTGCAGCACAGTCGTGAGCCCCACACACATGAAGGAACTGAGGTTGGGAGACCCCCATCATCCCTGCTGCCATAGTGGGGTGCGTTGAGGGGATGTGGAAAGCCACTGGTGGTCCTGCAGGGAAAAGGAAGGGCAGAGCTGGCTCGGGAGGATGCTCAGCATCCCTGTGCATGAGCAGGGCAGGACAAAGACAGCAATGAAAGCTCCTCCACCATTAGGAAAGGTCATCCAGGAAAACTGCAGCCTTGTCCCAGGATTCATTCCTGGGCTGCATAGCCCATGGGGTTAAGAGCCCTGTGCACCAGGGCCACATCATCCAGCCATAAACACTATTTTTTCTGTTTATCCTGGGTTTTTAGCTTTTACC